GTAAGTACGCTTACAATCATGACCCTGTACTTTTTACTTTTTCTTTCGACACAAAACATTATTCACCATAGAATAAAATATGATACGCTGAACAAAAGAAAGGTTAAAAAACAATGCTCTGCACATCACGAAGCAAACCCATTTCTTTACAAACCGTACATTAGCAAATGGTCGATAACAGCACCCTATGCACAGAGCTAATATACGCTGTGTGCTTACCGGAGATCTACGAGGAATTTTCCTGCAAGTTCTCGTGATGATTACGCCACGTGGCTCCCTGTTAGTACTGCACTGTGTATTAACTAATTGTTTGGGGAGGTTGCCAAAGAGGACATAACAACAGACTGACTGGAAATTTGGAATGTCCCATTACTTTCCAATAGGGGGATCTGTCAATTTTTTGAATTGAGCATGTCACTGTTAGAGATGTCACTATAAGTTAAAAATAGTAAACAGGTATATAAAACTATTTACAAAATAACAGCTATGGAAAATTCCATTCCATCATTTGACAGTCCCATTACTTAGGAATATACATAGTTCCAAGAGTTACCTTAAAGGTAGTTGTGGCTCGACAAATGTGATTGCTGATTGGATGAATTGCTTTTGAATGAAAAAAACTAGATATCTTGGGTTTTTTGAGTAGGAAGCAAATGGTTGAAAAACAAGAGTCATGAAGGTGGGCAATTGTCTTAACTGACTACCTGTTGCACCTGTAACTAACAGGGGAGTTTATACATCATTATCGACAGTAAAAGCTGATATTTTGTGATTTTAGACAAATATCTAAAGTGACACAGTATAAGTGCTCAGATTGGAAACATTCGATGAAAACTTGTATGTCGAACCAGGAGGTGATAACTTTTAAATAATTCAACCAGCACGATGTGGATTTTCTTTATCATAATACATTTAAATCTTTCATTTCTTTTTTTGATAACTTGTATTGATAACATGTATTGATAACTTTAACCCTTTCAAATTTAATGAAACTTCAAAGTACATTCTCTGTAGTCGTTACAGTTTTTAACGTTAAACTGTAAAAAGTACTACACAATGACATCGTCAACTTTACTGTACATAATTAGAATTGGACCGATTGTGAACTATAATAATTGGCAGTTGGTGATTTCTGTGACATGATCAGTGAAACAGTAATATTATGATTTATATTTTTGGCTAGTGCAATCTTCAAATTTGGATTCAAAAGTGTTTGCCCTAACATGCATACATTTATAAACAATGTACATGCAGTAAGGTAGATTTTACAAACAACTAACAAGTTTGCAATTTTTACTTGCCTGTTTTTGGAAAGTGTTGACAAAAAAGAACTTGTACGTAAATTATTCAAATGTGTGAGCCTTGATTCAGGCTTTGTATCATATATAAAAAGTTAAAGTAGCATTCTGATTGAAAACAGCACTCATCTTTATAAAAGTTCAAATAATCACTATATTTCAAATTTTATATATCAATTCCATTAGACTGATACAAAAAGTTTGAATATTGGACAAAGTGATGGCATTCTTATTAGTAAAAGTGTATGTAAATTGAATATACGGGCATTCATAGTGATGACATTTGTGGATTGTACATGACTGATGAGCGTTTGTAAATTTGGGAAGATCCATTCATGGTTTGTCATATTTGCTCAGTTAAGAAACACTTATATCAATTCATGTGCAGTCAAACTTTTAATGGTCTCCTAGTCCCCCCCCACTAATTTAAAGCCGTGTATAATATGTTTCCACTTTCCTCAGGAGTATTTAATATTGTAATGTGACATGGGAATGAATGTGACAAATAGCATGTGTAATTAGAGCATTCCTACATAGGAGATCGTGAAATGGAGACTGGAGTAGGTTGATTTTAAGAGATTTTAATGAATGTAATTTTAATGATTTTGAAAAAAATCTTTAGTATAAGAAGCTATCATAATGAGCAGTTTGTTGGTTAAGGAGGGTTTTGTTTTTGTTCTTTCAATTATAAGATTACATGGATACCATTATCCTTAAGGGGTGATCAATCTGTTTTGGTGAGTGATCTTTGAAGGATTTATTTTATTATATTTTACAGTTCTTTTTTTTTTCTCTGTATATATACATATATATATAGATAGATAGATATTTGAGGAAATCTTTCATCCTACAGGTTTATGTTCATTTTTAAAGAGAAGCAGACAGAGTTTGTTAACGCTTTGTCATCTGGAGAAGGTGCACCAGTAGAACCAGATCTTCATGTTGTAATGTTATGGCGACAAGAGTTTGACAAAGTACGCTACCAGTGGCTCGACACTGCATGGTCTGTGGAGCCCAACTCAGTATGTACTTTCTGTTTGCTCTCCTTGTTCATATATTAAGAATAAAGCACTCAGTAAGCAAAGTTATTTCTAAGTTACGTAGAAATTATTATTGCTGTGCTTTAAGACGTTTTTAGTACTTTCAGTATTTTATTCAGTGGGATTTTGAATCAGAAATTATTTGAGATTGTGGTAGTTCTTGTGTGAACTGAGTTTTTTGTTGTGTAAAAATAGTTATATTTCACAGCTGTTTTCATAAAGTTGGCTTACTTTTTATAGTTCAGAAGTGCTATTAAATTAATAAATCTAGAGCTATCAAGATTTCACCTGTAATTGTTTTTGGTTACTTCTTCAATCCAGAATTTTATAACAACAGACCTTTTATTATTTGTCAAGAATAAGAAACTTAGCAAAGGTTCCATTTAAGTTAATCAGCTTTGCTTGAAAAAAAAATCTAAAAATTAATGACGTTCTCAACCATGATTATGTTAGACCTTATTAATTATTTCTTAGAATATAGCAGTTTGTACATTTTTTTTTTTTTTTAGTTAGTGTGCTAAACAATTGAAAAAACAAAATTCTTATCACAGGTGAACAGTACCATGCGAGAGCTAGAAGATATTCTACAACAGCTTGTACAAACAACCGAGTCCCTGCCCTATCAGGCTAAAGTTGTTGCTCTTACTGATGAACATGAAAGAGGGTTTTTGGGTCGCATTTTAAACAGACTTATCATCATGGGTGAAATACTCCGAGATAACATCAGTCATCAAGAAGTTCTACCAGCCATCTCCGTCATTTTGACTGTTGCTTTTATCGTCATCATGGGCTATGTCATGTCTTATCTTGTGTGAGTTCCCACTCTCTCTCTCTCTTCTTTATATATACAACACTTTGTTCAATGGAATTTTATCAGTATAAAATTTTTTTTTCCTTTCTACATTTTTTTACACATTTGAATAAGCTGTTTAAGATTAAACTAATTTGAGTAACATTATTTGAAAATTATGTTTTAATTACCAGGAAATAATTTGAATATTAAATCTAACAAAAACCTTGGCTTCTTTGTGTTTTGCTGAAATATACAGTTAATATTGCTGATAATAATGAGAATCTTCAGCATTAAAATTGAACATGTCAGACTCAAGAGACTGATAGTAAAAGAGAATACTGCATTGAGTCAGACTACAACATAAATAAATCTAGATCATTGAGCCTAATTTTAACAATTGAGTTATAGAGTTATTCAGTTGATTTAAGCCTTAGAAATTCCAAATGTTAAGTCAGATTCCAAATGTTGTCAAACATATTTCTTCAGCATCACTTTAATAATAGAATCATGATGAATAATCCAAATAGTTGAGTTAGGCCACAGGATTTAATCAGTTAATCGAACGTGCACGTGTATTGGAGAAAAATGTGACTATGATTTTGAATTTAGTATGTGTATCTACATGAAATGTGTCAAACTTGTAGCAGTGTGTACAAGTTTGTTGTGTAGTTGTACTCAAGATATGTCTGAATTGACTCAGACAAGTAATAATCTAAGGTGTTGTTCATATTGCATTTGTTTAACTTCTGCAATGTCCAAAATGCATATCTTCACTTTTTATCAATATCGCTGTATCTAGTATTTACTCTTGTCTAGCATGAACTGTTCTTATATCAGCAATGATGCGTAACATCGTGTTGAATAGCACTGTTAAAGGTCACTGTGTGTGTACTTTGACTCTCTCCTGTGCACATAGGGTTATGAAAAAATTGCATGAACTCTAAAGTTTGATTTAATGACCATAGACAGAAACTTGAATCAGTTTTGCTAGAGCAAGACATGATAATAGTTTACTCACTTAATATGGTTATTCACACACTTCCATAATAATCTGTTATTCCATAGTTTTGCAAGTGAAACGATTCACATAATTCAACACATTTTGAGGGATTTACAACATAACTAATGAAATTGAGTGTAGTTAGTAGATACCAAAAATATGCAGTGTTTCTCATCAAATTTCTGATTTATGTTTTGATTTATTTGTTTACATATATATGTGTGTGGTATACTTGAATAAAGCAAAAAAATAAAGCTGCATGCCTTCTGACTCCAGTTGCTTTCCAGCTTTAGTAAACATTTAATGAATACTTTAAAAAATACATTTTTATTTTTTAGTAATCTAGAAGAACAGAACATACAAGAAAAATATCGTCAAGAAGGAAAGCAGCCACCTAATGGTCGTGGTAAATTAAGGTAAATATATTATTCTTTGTTTCAACACATTAACTAGAGTGTGCTCATGTTTGGTGTGTCCAACGAGTATAGTAGAAAAATTAGGTAGTGTATTTAAATAAGTGCACTTTAAATGTGTGTGTGTGTGTGTATATATATACTGTTTTCAAAATATTAATTGAAGTACATCACTATTAAAGAGGTACTTTATGAAGTTGGCCAAATAAGTTTGTTCTTGGGCCTGGCGTGGCCAGATGGTTAGGGCGATTGACTAGCAATCTGCGGGTCGTGGATTCAAATCCGTCCCACATATATGCTTGCCCTTTCAGCAGTGGGAGTGTTATAATGTGATACTCAATCCCACTATTCATTGGGAAAAGAGTAGCCCAACAATTGGCAGTGTGTGGTGATGAGAAGCTGCATTCCCTTTCATTGCTAAATTAGGGATGGCTAGCATAGGTAGCTCTCAAGTAGCTTTGCATGAAATTCAGAGCTAACCAAATTTGTCCTCATCATTGTGTGAGTGTAGAGGTCGAGTAATATAATCTTGTTTTCTTCTTCATTTATTTGAAAAACATGCTAAGCATCGTAGAAAGGTCAACAACAACAAACCATGTATGTTTTGATGTTCATTATTTATTACCATGAGTATAATGGCTAAAGGTGTTAGTCTTTCTCTCTCTCTCCCTCTCTTTTTTTTTAAACTAAAATAGTGAATTTGTTCCTTAACGTGTATTGTTTGAAAAACTTTTTGTGTATGTATTATAAAAAGAACTTAATGATTGTTTCAAAAGGTAAAACAAAGTAAAAAATATGTTTAAAATGAAACTGTTTAATAAAATATTTACATGCGGCATACTTATGTTCTGAGACAAGTTCTGTTTGCTGTTATACAGGGAAGAGCACAAACTGAACATACACGAGTTGAGAGGTGAGACATACAATGGGTTGGTAAGGTTGCTGAAACCAGGTTTTAGGACAATTGTACTTATATTGGACAGTGAATCCAAGGACAAGCTGTTGCCCAAGTTCTACAAAATTGTCTACCCTTATAGAAAGTAAGTACCCATATCCTCAAATATTGCTTTGCACTATTACCGAGTTTGGATACTGCCTTATGTTTGAATGTTGCTGTTTCAGAAGTAATCATAACAGATGTAGCTATAGTACAGTAATCTGTGACTATAGTTGGATTATTTTAAACTCTAAATTACATTTTAAACATACAGAAACAAGTGACATGCAAGAATAATTTACTTAAAAAAAAACATTATGATGAAACTGAGACTTATGAAAGAACTTGTGTTGAATGTGGAAATTTCTTTAAGCACCACCTTGCGATTATATGCAAAACTTGGCTGCCATCTGTGACTTATGAAGGCATTAGCAGAATGCATGCATCTGAAAGTATATGAACATTTTACATAGATATCAGGGAAGCCCTTATTGCTACAGTATGATTTAATACTTTTAAAAATTTCAAGATAGGACTTAAAATGTTTAACCTAATTTTTATTCATTCTACTCTCTGAAATATCTCCAAATGTTAATCCTCATTTATCCTAGTGTGTATATTAATTCTATAAGTCAGTCTTCATTCCTATCAATATTTTGAATTAATTCTAGAAACCAATCTTCTTTCTATAAATATGTAAATTTATCATAGAAGTCAATCTTTATCTCAACAGGTATGTCAATTAAGTCTAGAAGACAGTTTTCATCCCTAACAAAGTACATTAATTGTAGAAGTTGGACATTATTCCAAAGAAAATGTGAATTAATTACAGAAGTCAATATTCATTCCTGCAGATATGATAAATGATTTTAGAAGTCTATGTTTATTCCTACTTGTATGGTAATTAATTCTAGAAGTCAGTATTTATTGCTGCTTGTATGGTAATTAATTCTAGAAGTCTATGTTTATTCTTACTTGTATGGTAATTAATTCTAGAAGTCAGTATTTATTCCTACTTGTATGGTAATTAATTCTAGAAGTCTATGTTTATTCTTACTTGTATGGTAATTAATTCTAGAAGTCAGTATTTATTCCTACTTGTATGGTAATTAATTCTAGAAGTCAATGTTTATTCCTACTTGTTATATAATTAATTCTAGAAGTCAATGTTTATTCCTACTTGTTATATAATTAATTCTAGAAGTCAGTCTCTATTCCTACCAGTATGGGAATTAATTCTAGAAGTCAGTTTTTATTTTTACTACCATGTAAATCATATCTGGAAGCTGATTTTCATTCAGATCAGAATATAAGTCAGGTGTAGAATCCATTCC